CCTGGCCTTGGACACTTCCAGGGATGGGGCAGCCACAGCTTCTCTGGGCAACCTGTGCCAGGGCCTCCCCACCCTCACAGGGAAGGATTCCTTCCCAGTATTCCATCTAACCTTGCTCTTTCATTTTGTTGTAGTACTACAGTTATCTTTTGAAGTAGGAAATGTGCATGTAATCAAAGTGTATTCCTGCTTTTCCCACTTAAATATGTGTCGTCAGGGCAGGAATTGTTGCTGCAACTCAACAGGTTGAACCATCTGGTCTAGTGGAAGGTGTCCCTGCCCATGGCAGGACCTTTCAGGTCCCTTCCAGCCCTACCAGTATGTGATTCCCTGAGTTCCCAGGCACTGTGCCAAGCCTGGAGCTGCAGAGAACTCTCTTTGCTGTGGCTCATTAGCACGGAGCAGCTGTTGGTTCATCCACTATTAATGGCAGGATAATGAAAGACACCCACTTGCAGAAGTGAGGAATTTGGAGAGAACTCTAAAGCAGGACTGTGCCAAACTGCACAGCATCAGTCAAGGAGCTGAGTTAGAACAAGCCAGGCTTTGGGAAAGCAGAAAGGAATAATGATAACAGTAGAAAAGATGAACATGCCCCTGACTCAGCAGCCTTTGGCCATAACACGTGTCTTCAGCTTGGAATTAATGAACAGAAAAAATTAAGAGGACTTTTGCTGGGATGATTTCAAATGTCAGAACCTGATATATGTATTTGTATACATGATACTCTTCATGCTTGAGACAACCTGACTCTGCTGCTGCTGCATCAAAATTTTGCCCTGGGGAATATGTGAAAAAAACCCTCCTGAAATGAAACTCACTTCATTTATTTTCCACTTCTGAAAATAACGGAGAAGAGTTTACAAATCCTTAACCATTTTTGTGCCTTTTAAGAATTCAAAAGGAAACACAGGATCTACAGTGAACCCTCAAAACCAGAAAACATAAAACCCAAAGTATTTGCCAGAGGAAGTTATTGTTATGCAAATTATATTTTTTAATACAAATTACAATGTTTATACAAATTAAAATTTGTATACCAATTACAAATATCTTGCAGAAATATAAGGGGACAGGGCTACTAAATGAGGAAAGGGCGGAAAATCTGAGCAGCAGCTCAGAGCAAATGGGAAAATCCCTGTACACAGGCCATGGGGATTGGGAAGAAAGGAGACGGAGCACTGGCTCAGGAGGCTGGGAGCGCTGGCTCAAGCTCAGGGTGAACTGGGGATCTCCAGGGGTAAATTCTGTGACCAGATAAAGGTCTAAAATGCCTTCTCTCAGTCCTGGAGAATGACTGTTGTGAGTTCAGGCCACCATGGGTGCATTGCCCAACTCCTGGGATACCCAGAGCTGCTCTGGTATCGAGTTTGGAGAAATGTAGGGTTTGTTAAAATGACAAGAAACAGCAAACAGCCAAGAAACCTTTTAAACTAAAGTTATAAAAGGACCAACCCCAGCACATCCAATCACAGACTCATGTCATGCTGTGCCTCAAAGCCACCATGACCAGTGTCACCCCACTCAGGCTCACCCCCTGGCTTTTCACACCTCCTGGATGGTGGCAGCTGTCAGATTGGATAAAGGAAAGTTAAATTAAAGGAACAATGACTTGGCCACTTAAAAAATCCATTCCGAACAAAAAATAAGTTGGAGGTTTTTTCTCTGTCATTTACTGAGCTCCGGCAATTAAGATCCTTTCCCTGCTCCAGCTGTCCCTAAGGCAGAACAATTTCCATAAGCAAAACCCTTCCCCCACTTTCATTGCCATGGGCCATGGTGACACTCACATGAGTCACATCCAAACAGTGCTCTTGCTTCTCATTTTTGCTGTATGTTTCCATGCTGAAATCCCAGAGGGATGTCCAAGACCAGGTTGGATGGGGCTTGAAGCAACCTGGTCCGGTAGAAGATGACCCTACCCACTGCAGAGG